GGGCTTAGTATAGAGCTGCCCAAATTAGTTTAAGTCCATAGTTCGCATGTTGCTGCATGCTCATCTGGTGTGTTGTTGCATACTTATGTGTTGTCACATGTTTAGGTTGTTTAACATGTTGGCTCCATGCGTTGTGGCATGATTGAATGAAGTCACATGCTTGCTTGCATGCTTGAACATCCCCATTATATCGGGCATACTTATTGGTTAGCATGATTGTCACATGCCTTGAATGGCTTCGTGGACTTATCTGAGGAGGAATACAACACGTGCTGCTGTAGACACCCCATTTTTGACCGTCCTCAAGACTTGGACGTCACCGTTTGAACACTCGGTGATCATCCATGTTTGTGTTCGCCTTGAGTTCCCGGAGGTCTCGGCTACACCATGATAAGGGATGTGTTGGTGCACACATTTGCTTGGAATGCATTGCCATGCCTTGTTTTGCCCTCTGCTGCTGTCAAAACAGGATTCTGCAGGAAGATTTGGCCGGCCGGCCATCTTTAGTGCCGACCGACCAACAATTTGTGGCCGATAGCTTAACCAATGGCCGGTGATCATTTCCTTTGGCCGGTGACCATTTCCCTTGACCGGTGGTATCCTACAGGGTTCATAGAGTGCACCTTGGGAATTTTGCAATGATCAGAGAAGGAAAACAGTGCGGACAGAGGCAACTTGTGCATGGCAGTGGACTTCCGAGCAGAGCCGAGTACGCATTGCATTGAGCCCTCTTCCCGAGGCTGTTTACTTTTTTATTAGATTAGTTAATTTTCTTAACTAGTTTAATTGGTCTGTAATATCTAATTAGCTTGTAGGTTAGTTCAATCTGTATTATTCTTTCGGTCCCTCCGAGCGAGGGCAAATTTGTAATAAGTGTGGGTGCGTGTGTGCATGTCTTCCAACCCCCACTTCTTTCTCCTTTTTACTTACCTGCTTTGATGGTTAGTGCTAGGGCATATTTAATTTAGCACCCTTATGCTATGCATGCGTGCATCATTCATCAGCATTGCATGCATCGAACTCGGCGTATCATACTAACTGCATAGTATTTCAACTCTAACTTGAATATGTGCATCAAATGGTTGCATTTCACATGCCATCCTAGGATTAGCCGAGTCTATCCTAATTGCATTCTGTATGCGTTGTATTAGGCACTTAACATGGACTTGGATCATACATTGATTGCTAATGAGTTCTTTGTTTTGGCTTGGAGTACACTGTAAGTATTTTGTGCTTTAGCATCTCGCACGAGTGTGAATTTTAACATGACAGTATGCTTACCATGTGGCTAGATGCTTATGTGATATGAACTGTCTGAATGCCTGTGGGTAAAGGCTGGATTGCTTGAGTTGGAACAACTCATCAAAATCCGTGTTTTAGCCTACTCGCGAGTAGCAAATTTCAAAACATTTTCCAAACAAACGGATATGCGATGCTTTGTTCCAAATTAGGCGATCTAGTCTATACTTGTTTTGCTGTGCGCATCACATAGTAATTCGGGCTAATAATCGGGATAAGAACACATAACGTTTTCAAAAATGGATATCACGGTTAGTAGAGGCCGATCTTCGGATCGGGCGAGAGGGGGCGCTC